TCCAGTGGTGTGCAATAACATCACAGCCACTTACATATTGTTCCTTCTCTAGCAAGGCAAGGGGACACACAAGAGAAGGAATCAGAAGCTAGGCAACATGACCAGCAGCATCTCTGGAGCCCAACAGAGGAGTTGTCTGTCCGTCCTATCAGGATGGTTGTAATGCAGTTGAGCTGGCATCGTGATCAAATTGCTTATGGTGTACTTTGGACCTCTTGCTTCTCTGTGTTGTGCCCGTAAACTTGTACACCACTCCCCAAACCTTTCTCTTCTAAGGACTTGTTTTCAGACACTTAAGAACAGCTACCAGCCCAGCCACAAAACCTGAATGATGAGCAAAAAGGCCAAACATTAATGAAGAGGCCCAGTCAAGTGATCTGACTCTAAGATTCTAGTAGTGCATGCATCTGGGAGGCTGAAAGACTTTGGAGACCAGCATATGGCTTGATATTTAAGCATGAATAGCTCTCTGTCAGGCCAATGACAAGGAATAGATTGTTTGTCAACTGACCAGAATGTGATGAAATATTATAATGGAGACAACTGATGGCCATGCCCACTGAGATGCAGGCCTGCTAGACAGCCTACTGTAACTGTCAAAGAGCGTGGAGGAGTCTGGCTTATAAATGGTGGAGCTTGCCACAGTGAATCCTCTGCTTCATTTTTCTGTTGTCTTGCAGTCCCACTGGCTGTGCCACTGCTCTCGCTATATGTGTCGAATTTTTATGTACACAGGTAATCTCATCATCAGAATGCAGCAAAACCCTCTGGCAAATGCAAAAACTCACCAAAATTCTATCACCCACACTCCAGAGTACTTTCAGTTTGCAGTAGAAGATATACCTGCAAACTGAATGCCTGGCTTCTTAAAAAATCAAAATGCCAAGCCCATCTTGCAGATTATACTTATTTGCAGAGTGAACAATATTGAGGTTCCTTGCAAGTTGCTTGACGAAGTTTGAATTTTAAAGGTACCAAGTTAAACTTTAAAGAGTTTAGAAAAGATGTACGAGGATGTTGCCAGGGTTGGAGAGTTTGAGCTATAAGATCAAGGCTGAATAGGTTGGGGCTATTTTCCCTGGAGATCGGAGGCTGAGGGGTGTTCTTGTAGAGATATGTAAAATCGTGAGGACCATGGATAGGATGAATAGTCGAGGTCTTCTCCCCAGGGTAGGGGAGTCCAAAACTATAGTGCATCAGTACTGAAAACAACAAATGCTGGAGATCTCAGTGCGTCAGACAGCATGTGTGGAGAGAGAGCAAGTTAACATTTGCTTGCTCTCTCCCCATGGATGCTGTCAGACTCGCTGTGATTTCGAACATTTGTTGTTTTCAGTACAGATTCCAGCATCTGTAGTAATTTCCTCCTATAGAGTGCATAGGTTTAAGATGAGAGGGGAAAGATTTAAAAGGGACCTAAGGGGCAGCTGTCAGAGGAAGTGGTGGAAGCTGGTACAATTACAACATGTAAAAGGCATCTGGATGGCTACATGAATAGGAAGGGTTTAGAGGGATATGGACCAAGTTCTGGCAAATGGGACTAGATTAATTTAGGCTATCTGGTCTGCATGGACGAATTGGACCGAAGGGTCAATTTCCATGCTGTACATCTCTATGACTCTCTATGTCTCTCTATGACTCTCTCTCTCTGTCTCTCTCTCTGTCTCTCTCTTTGAACAAGTGTCATCTGCCTTTTCTGTGTATCTGAAAGGATTTAATGATTAATATTTAACTATCAATTTTAGTTCATGGGATGTCCTGCATCTGAACCACACTGGGGCAAGCATCCTTCAAGTAGGTTTACTAGCGCTGTTGGGAGGAGTGTAAACCAGTCTGACAGTGGGAGGGGACACAGAATATTGATGAAATGGAGACTCATCATGCTATTAGCAAAGGAAGCCAGCCAGAATGAGTTCACCTATGTTGAATTCAGGAGAGTAAGGCAAGGCTGGATGGTCTTCACTTGAATGTAATGAATGTAATAGGTAAGACTGATGAGTTAAAGGTGTGGATTGACACCAAAGTGTGATTGTTGCTATCTCAGAAACATGGTTGTGGGAAGAAGCAGAACTGGTAACTCAACATTCTGGGTTATAGGATCTTTAGGTGAGACAGAGGAAGGTGTGAAAAGGATGGAGTAGCACTATTAATTAAGGATCCAATTACTGCAATAAGGGGAGATGATATCATGGAAGGGTCTTCAAGTGAGGCTTTGTGAGTTGAATTTAGGAATGTTAAAAGAGCAGTCACATTATTGGGAGTGAATTAGAGACCTCCAGAGAGTCAGCAGGCAATAGTGGAGTGAATATATAAACAGTTCACAGAGGTGTGTAAGAGTGGTAAACAAGTAATTATACCAACTTGCCCAAAGTAAATTGGGATGGTCATAGTATTAAGCATTTAGAGGGGGCGGATTTCTTGAAATGTCTCCAGGGAGTTTTTTGTATCAATGTATAGAATGCCCAACAAGGGATGTAGTAGTGCTGGATATTGTGCTGAGGAATGAAGGTGGACAAGTGTTCAATGTGGCAGTGGGGTAACATTTTAACAGTAACAATGGTATGGTTCAAATTTTTTATGGACAAGAAGAAAGATGGCTTGCTTAAGATGACTTTTGGCTTAGGAGAAGACCGATTTTATTAAAATAAAGCAGAACCCGGCCAAAGTTGATTGAGAACAGCTCCTTGCATGTATGTCTACAACACAGCAATGGTGGTGGGGGAGGAGCATTCAAAAAGGAGCTGTGGAGAGTATGGGGGAAATATAGGAACAGTAAGGTCAGGACTGGATGAGATACCTTGACATAGGAAATTGGGGATGTGGGGTGCAGGTGAGTAGGATATACTGGAGGCTCTGATGGGTATTAAAAATGCATGAATCCCCTGGCCTGAATAAATTGCACCCCAGGCTGCTGTGGGAGGCAAGGCAGGGAATTGCAGGGACTCTGACACATTTTTAATTCCATCTGGCCAAGGGGGGGAAGTGCCAGAGGACTGGAGGACAGCTGATGTGGTTCCACTTTTCAAGGCAGGTGGTACGGATGAATCAGGAAATTACAGACCAGTGAGTCTAGCATCAGTGGTAGGAAAGTAATTGGAGAAAATTCTGAAGGGGAGAATTAATATTCACTAGGAAAAGCCTGAGATAGTCAGCATGGCTTTGTCAGAGGGAGGTCGTGCCTAACAAATTTGTTAGAATTTTATGAATATTGTGATCAAAGTGCGTGGATCAGGGAAGTTTAGTTCATATCGTTGGATTTTAGCAATGCTTTTACCACATGGGAGACTGACTGATAAGGTTAAAGCACATGGAGTTCATGGAAACTTGGCGAGATGGATAAGAAACTGGCTTAGTAATGGATCACAAAAGGTAGTGGAGAAGTCTGTCTGTCTGAGTGACTGGAGGCTGGTGTCCAGTGGTGTATTGCAAGGCTCTGTACTGAGACCCTTATTGGCTGTTACATACTTAAATGATACAGATGAAAATGTGGGGGAATGTTGAGCACATTTGCAGATGACAGCAAGATTGGTAGGGTGGTTAGCATTGAAGAAAATGGTTTTAGGTTATAGGAAGATATAGATGAGTTGGCCATATCACCTGAGCAGTGGCAGAGGTGCAGAAACGGAGGATGAGAAACGGAGGGGCAGAAACAGATGATGGGGTACAGAGGGGCAGAAACAGAGGATAAGCATTTAACCCTGATATGTGTGAGGTGATGCATTATGGAAGAAGAAACAAGATGAGGGAGTATGTAATGAATGGCAGGGCATTGAGTACATTGGGAAACTGTTTAGAGGAACATAGAGAATCTTGGGGTTATTGTTCACAGATCCCTGAAGTTGGCCGAGCATGTGAATAGGGTATTTAAAAAGGCATATGGAATGCTTGCTTTCATTAGTCATGGCATAGAGTAGAAATTATTGTCATGTATACTTTTTCATGAAAAATACAGTGACATGTTTTATATGTCACCCTAACACAGTGCCTACAAATAAGAGCAAGGAGGTCATGTTGGAGTTGTACAGAGCATTGGTTAGACAACAGCTGGAGTACTGTATGCAGTTCTGATCATCTCACTACAGGAAGGAAGTGATAGCATGAGAGTGGGTTCAGTGGAGATTTACCAGGATGACACCTGACATGGAGAAATTGAGCTAAAGTGAGAGATTAGATAGGTTTGGATTGTTTTTGTTAGAGTAGAGAAGGCTGAGGGGGCCACGGATGAGATGTATAAGGTAATGAGGGTTTGGACAGGGTGAAAAGGGAGCAGCTGTTCCTCTTGGTTGAGAGGTCAATTACGAGGGGACATAGTTTTGGGGTATGGGGCAGGAGATTCAGAGGAGATTTGAGAAAAAAACGTCTCCACTCATAGGATGGTGGGAATCTGGAATGCACTGCCTGGGAAGGTAATAGAAGCAGGAAAACTTCAACCTTTAGAAAATATTTAGATGAGCGCTTGAAATATCATGGCATTGAAAGCTTTGGGATAAGTGCAGGAAATTGGAATTAATGTGCCTTTAATGGTAGTTATTGTTGGTGCAGACACCATGGGCTGATGGGCTGAAGGGCCTTTCTCCGCTGTATGAATCTGACTCTAATACACTGTTAGTTAAGTATTGTTGCTGCATCTCCTTGCCAACAATTGCCCAACCTATCAGCAAACTCTTGTGATGCTGTATAAATTGCTGTTTCTTTTTAAAGTCTGTTTCTTGCATCCTGGCCTGATGAGTTCAAGGTGAAGAGCTGTAACTTTTTGTGAAGTTCTGTATTACCAAGCAGTTGCATTTATAATCAGTGTTGAAGTTGTGTAATTAATCTCTGGCCAACAGTTTGTTTGGTACATGGGATAAAAATTGATCAGATAGGTTCCAGATGCAACTTAATCAATTGCAAATAAACATCAAAAATGTTTCATGGCCATCACATATTAGGATGTGCTGCTGAAGCAGTCTCAGACTATGTCTCTCTGTCATTACATCACTCTTGCCTCTGGTTATTAGGTTTGTCCCTGTGACGTCCAAGCCCAGCTGCTTGACTTGACAGACATGGAAGAACAGCCATATGATCTGGAGTTTGAAGATGCTGTGAACTTTAAAGAAGGCACAGAATCTCATCAGGTTAGTCCTGACATTGACCACTATAAGGAGAAGAGATGATGCTCCTGAACCTGTAAAAAAAAATCATTCGACCTGTTCCAGGTATTGAGATCACCTTCAAATAAGCAAGACATCAAAACTGACCACCTAAGAATAAACCACAGTACACCATCAAATACCTAGTAACATAAAGTATTTCTCCTTTCTTGGAGACTACATAATGATTTCATAACTTGTAAATTATTCCTATAAGGCTAGTGATGCCCTAGGTCAAGTAACGTTTCCTTTTCACTTCCCAGAAGTTAACTAGCTCTAACTAACTAACTAACTAAATTTAAATTGACATAGTTGCAGTTGGAGTTTCCAGTTGAAGTGTGGAAAGATAATTAATTAACTCAAGATAATTCATTTCTTAAACTCTGGACATCCGAAGGCACTAGACAGCCACTTAAAATTTGTGCTTCTTAGAGCAGTTTCTACACTTAAAATAAACTTTTTCAAGTGTAGAAACTGCTGTAAGAAGCATAATTGCCAATTTGAGCATGTAAGGTGATGCGTAAGTGTTAGCCAGGATTGTAGCTCATCTTCCTATAGTACTTTGATAGTTTCACATTTATCTGAAAGAGCCAACTTGGTTTAATGTCTCAGTTAAAAGATGAGGTCAAGCCAATAGTGACTGGGGAGGGGATAGACTTGGTGGCAAGCGTTTAAAACCTGTGAAGAGTTTGAAGGCAATTGCTTTAGTTTTCCCAAGACTTAACTGGAGAAAATTGAAACTCATTTAAGATTGGATGTCAAAAATTCAATCTGGCAACTCCAAGGCAGTGAAGGATCAAAGGAGATGGTCAGAGCTAGAGTCTGGTATCATAGACATACCTATGTAGGCTACTCCCCTTGTCTTTCGATGATGTTGTCAAGGGACAACATGAAGATGCCGAAATGGAACATAGATGGATCCTGAAGATGACTCCTGAGGTGGAATAATAAACCTTTGCTATATATGCTCTGCCTATGATGGATTATGTGCTAATCGAACTCAGTTGCTGTGGTCCCTGAGAATTCTTTGTGATTGTCCAACAATTAATGGAGTGAGGAGGGAAATCAGAAGAAATCTCTTTTGTCCAGCGTATTACTGTAAAATGAAGAAGTAGTTTCTTATAATGGAAAGGTAAGTAATAGACAATTGCTGTAGGTAAAAGTACAGGAGTAATGACATACCAGGGTCAGTGGAGTTAGTGGGATTAGTTTTGGATTAACAGATCAAAGAGCCAGGACAAACCTCATGAATCAAATTGTTTATTCCTGTTCTGTAAATTTATGTATTTCCAAAGTTAATAGGACTTAAATAAGAGATAACAAGGTGTAGAGCTGAATGAACACAGCAGGCCAAGCAGCATCAGAGGAGCAGGAAAGCTGATGTTTCGGGCCTAGACCCTTCTTCAGAAATCCAAGTACAGAAGAGATTAGATTGTCCAGCAAAGTAAATGAAAACAGAAATTGCTATAACAGACTTCCTGCCTTAATTTTGATATTCTATTTTACCTTATATTAGCTGGATTTTCCAGGCCTTAAGAAGAGACTACTAATGCAAAGTGTAATACCAGATGAAGGAATGTCTTAAATGTACTTTTGAGGAAGTCTGTGTTCGATCACTATTGCATGTAAATTACATCACTCATTCTGAAACTAAATGCAAGTTTATTAAATTTGTAAGTGATCTTAAGATAAATGCAAGTATGTGTTGAATGTTTATCCATAATGGTAGACTCAGATTAGATTTATTATGTAGAAGTTACCTATCATATATTGGGTAAAGTGCTGTTTGTCAAAGACTAATCACTGCTATAGATATAAGAGAAAGAAAAATGCTTCACTGTAACATGTTATAACTTCAACATTTAGAAAATTCAGTGAAGTCGTTCAAAATTCGATGAAGTCTTAGGGAGCGTAGGCCCCTTCTTCTCAATCTATCCTCATAGGACAAGTCTGTCATGCCTTCTGCATCCCCTTTTCAGAACATAAATCCTTCTTTGGATGAGGAAGTCAGAATTGTACATATTATTCCAAGTGAATTCTCTAAAGACTGCATGACTGCAACAAAATTTCTTTTACTTTGTTACTGCAGGCCAACATACCATTTGTTTTCATTATTGCTTGCATTTGCATATTGGGCTACATATCAAGGGTACATAACTCTTGCAGATCATCATTTACCAGTCTGTCACCACTTGAAAGCTATGGATTTTTACTCTTTCAGCTAAACTGGATAATTCTACACTTCTCAATATTGTACTTTGTCATTTGCTTGTTTGATTCTTTATTAGTTTGTACCTGTTTGCTATCTCTTTGCATCCTCCTAACTGCTTACTTTTCCACCTAGCTTTCTACCTACAGCAAACCTGGATATATTGTATTTGGCACTGTCATTTAAATCATTGATAGAGAGTTTAACAGCTGAGGCCCAAATATGGAATATTGCAGCATCTCACTAGTTACTCCACGCTATTCTAAAACTGGACTTTTTATTTCACTGTTGTTTTCTATTAACCCTCCCTCAATCTGTTGGAATGTTTATCCACAATCCCAAGGAAAAAGCTGTTGCTCTCCTTCCCTTCTCTCCAGTTGCTTCCACTCCCTCCCTCTAGTCACTGCTACACCCCCTTTCCCACCCTGGTCACTCCACCCCACTTCCAGATCTGGCCATCTTCCTTCCTGGTCCCTTGATGATGGTTGTTGACATTTTAGTTGACCATGCAAATGAGCTGCAAGGTCCAATATGTGGGGTCCCTGGGGTCTCACCATTAAGTTACCCACATTTCTAGACTAAAATGTTTGGGAATGCAATGATTATCCAGAGATCTGTAGTAATTTACTAGAATGATATGGTTGAGGATGAGCAAAGTGTTGATGATAACTTGGTAGCTGAGGAACAACATAACAATTAGGAGTAGGAGTAGGCAATTGAGCCCCTCAAGCCTGTTGTGCCATTTGATATGATCATGGCTGAACTCATCTTGTCCTCAACTCTACTTCCCTGCCCACTATCCATAACCCTAAGAATCAAAAAATCCCGACAGTATTGAAAGAGGCCATTTAGCCCATTGAGTCTGAACCAACCCTTTGAGGAGCATCCTACTCAGGCACAGTTCCTCACCCTATCCCTGTAACCCCATACTTGCCATGGCCATTCCATCTAACCTACACATCCCTGGACTCTACAGGACAATTCAGCATGGTCAATCCACCTAACCTGCACATCTTTAGACTGTGGGAGGAAACCGGAGCATCCTGCGCAAACCTATGCAGACACAAGGAGAATGTGCAAACTTCACATAGACCACCACCAAGGCTGGAATCGAGCCCACGTCCCTTGCACTGTGAGGCAGCTGTGCTAAAGACTGAGCCACTGCCACCTCCTTCAACCAATAATTAAAAATCTATCTCCTTCACAGATTTATTCAGTACTCCAGCATCCACACATTTTGGATAGTGACGATGAATTTTATTTGTTTGTTAGGACATGGAGTTCACAGTACCACCACATGGGCAGACATAGTCTTCCGCGAAAGCAAGGATTCTGTCCTCATAGTGGGTGAACAGATGAATATAGGGCACCCCACACTTGTCTTGGCCCTCTCTGCCCTCTTCTGTTTCTTTTTCTCCTGGAATAAGACAAGTGGCGGGATTGAGGGCTGATAGTCGCTGGCACAGCTGTTAATGCTGGTCCAGCAGATGGGAAAAGTGATGAGGTGTCCCAAGTGAGTAAATACGAAGTACAGAGGCCCTGCAGCGTTAGTAATCTAAGGAAAAGCATGGATGGGAGTATTGAGGGAAGATGCTGCATGCAAAAGTGAAAATTATAGATCATGAACCTTGGTGCGAGGTAGGTGTACTAGTGGAGTTAGAATGAGTGTGAGGTAGCAGAGTGAAAGTGGTGGAATTTACTTTGCAGAGCTTAGATCATTAACTTTCTTCCTGTACTGCTAGGCATTCCTCAGGACTGTGGAAGTGACACTGACCAGGTGAGAACATTAGGACAGACTGGCAGTGTTTGGTGCTGTGGTTTCCACTGATAGATCTGAGGAAAGAATTCAGTCCTCCTCCTGACCACCTTATGGCATGGGGGAGGTGATGGCCTAGTGGTATTATCACTGGACTGTGGGGACCTGGGGACCCAGGTTCGAATCCTACCACGGCAGATGGTGGAACTTGAATTCAATAAATATCTGGAATTAAGAGTCTAATGATGACTGTGAATCCATTGTCGGTTGTCAGGAAAAACCCATCTGGTTCACTATTGCCTTTTAGGGAAGGAAACTGCCATCCTTACCTGGTCTGGACTACATGTGACTCCAGACCCACAGCAATGTGGTTGACTCTGAATTGCCCTCTAGGCAATTAAGGATGGGCAATAAATGCTGCCTAGCCAGCGACATCCCTCATCCTGTGAATGAATAGAGGTGAATAAAAGGGTCCACCAGGACCTCCATGTCCCTGTCAGCAAAGCAGTGTGCCAACTACTATTGGCCATTTCTAGAGCAATTCCTCCCACAGTGCAACTGTGAAGAGCTTTTTCTGGCTTGTCATGTTTGAACTGGAGCACAACCGGATTTTATTATTGTGTCACGGCTGGACACCCAAAAGGTCGAGCAGCAATAAGCATTCCACCATTGGTGAGGGCAATATAGTGTGAGAGCAGCATAGTGGAGACATGGTGTATAATTAATGAAGCGAACAACGTAAAATTGCGCAAGAAAATTTGCTGGACTTCACAGAGAGAAGCCTTCTATGAATCTCTCCAAAATTGATACATAGCTAACATTTGGGGAAATTCAGACTTCTGTTTCCTGACTACTAACCAATTCTCATTTCATGCCAGTATATTAGCCCAATCCCATCTGCTTTAATCATATATACTAACCTCTTATGTAGGACTTTCTCAAAATCTTTCTGAAAATTCACATATGCTACATCCACTGGATCTCTCGTCTATATTCCACTAGTTATATTCTCCAAAAATC